TTTTTTTTTTTTTTTTTTTAAGATAGACTAAAGTTCACAACAATCTCTCTTGTCTTGTCTTGTCTTCTCAAGCCTTGTAATTATAATTGTGTATCACCAGGCCTTGGCCGTGTATATGTCCACCTCTCAAATTTTTAAGGAAACAAAGGCCTCTATCTTGGGCTTTGATAAAAACATCCAAGGCAGACATAGCAAGGACTGTTATATTTAGGTGAAATTAGTCTTATGGGAAGTCAGATCCAGTTTTGTTTCTTGTTTTAAATCTGGACTGCTTCATGAGTTTCTGTGTCAGCCTTGAACAGGGTCCATGCTAATGCTCTGTCTTACTCTGTGATAGTATGTGTGCTGCAGAAGTCAAGAATCTAACTTTTAAAATGAAGCAGAAAGGTAATAATCCTTTGCCTACCTAAAAGTATTTTTGTTTGTTTAACTAAAATATAATCTGACAAATTAGATTTTGTTATATAATAGGTGATACAGCAATAAAGAGAAAATTACAAACGTCAGTGTGGATAGCTTACTACAAGGTATGGTATTAACCCACATGACTCATGAATAATATCTGAAGCATTTTTTTTTCTAACTGCTGGCTGACATACTATATAACACTAAATAATTAATTGGTGTGGTAAAATAAAACAAAACACAAGCTTATCTCTGCATTGGGGACAGTGAACCTACACAGAGAAACCGTGTCTCAGAACAAACCAAACAAAAAATTATTGACATGGTGGTTGCTGGTTTTATTTGAAAAGTTGTTTACATTTGAGTTAGCTGAATATGAAAGCCAGAGTATTTCTGCCTACATTTGTTTGAACCCAAACCTCTGAGACAAAGCAATATTTAACTTAGAGAAATGAACCAGTGTGAACTTAATAGGAAGTGTAGTGTTTCACACTGCAAAAGATTTTGTCCGTTGAGTCATTTTCTTGACTAATTTGTTTGATATATTGGGAAAAATCTTCTCTTTTCATTTTCCCTTGTTAATAATTAGAATAAATTGAGCACAGTATAATACAACTACTCTTTTCTTTTTACCAGAAGAGAGAAAGATTACATGATGAAGAAGAAAAAAAAAGTGCCTGGGTTAGCCAAGAGAGACAGAGAACATTGGATAGACTTCGCACATTTAAGCAGGTAATGGAAATGCAGTCAGTCTTCTGGTTGACTTTTCATGGCACTTCAGAGAGCCATAGGACACTCTGAATTTAGGGTTTCTGTTTAAAATTTATTCCCAACCATAGCAGTTTAATTGGCTCTTTTCCCTGTGGCCAAATCAGTATTTTTTTGACCTCTGGTGCATAGCCATAGGAGTGTAAAGAATAGAGAGTATTAAGAACTTGGGTTTTTCTGAGTTAAAAAATCATTATTGTCAATACTACAAAAGCACTTCATTTCACTCTTCTATTACAAAATTGTTATCAATGTTTTTTGTATATAAGCCTTTGAAAATAAACAGCAATAGTTTCCTACTAAGTAATGTATATACTTAGTACTATAAAACTATTTCTCCCATTGAAGACTTAAAGTCACATGACTAATTCTTGCTATGTATCCTTGGGTAGACCAGACTAGAGCCTCAAACTCATAGCCATCATCTACATCTGTCTCTTGGATGTTAGACAAGTACACCACAACACCCTGCACATGATGTTTTTAAGTAGTTGATTTAATTAGGTAAGAAGGAAGTCAGTAGATATAAAGGAGTTGGTGATAATTGTTTAAAAAGTTTAGGCATAGGTATTCTAGTTGTTTGTTGTTGGGGTTTTTTTTTTCTGTCTATCCCTTGGAAAAAAATCAGAAAAGAGCCAAAATAATAACATTCTGTTGAAGGAAGAAAAAACTAATTATTTGTGGGCAAATTAGTTTAATATAATATACTCATTCAATAACTTTGATATTTTAGAGGTACCCCGGGCAAGTCATCCTTAAGTCAACCAGATTACGAGTGGCTCATGCGAGAAGAAAAGGCATGGCAAGCCCTGTGCCCTGTGAGGAGCAGTACGGCTCTCTCCCAGCAGTGCAGGGGGAGGAGAAATCAGAGGTGGGAGAAGAAAGAAGCCAGCTTGGGTCTTCACAGGCTGCAGAGCCCCAGAGTCTTGTCCAACTTGAAGACACTTCATCAGTACAACTTGAAGACACTTCATTACCTCTCAGTGCTGTTACCTCTGAACTGTCTCCTGTGTCACTTCCACTTTTGACTTCTAATGACCTCAAACCATGTTCTGCTATCACAGATCCACTCCCACCTACTCTTCCTCCAACACCTCCTCCTCTCCCTCCTCCACCCCCACCCCCACCCCTTCCTGTTGCAAAGGACAACAGCGCTACCACCACTGCAGAGACACTGGAGAGAGATCTCCTTAAAAAGGAGAGCAATGAGAAGAGGATCCCAAAGTCAGCCAGCGCCCCATCAGCACACCTCTTTGATAGCAGCCAACTGGTCAGTGCCCGGAGGAAGCTCAGAAAGACTGCTGAAGGTTTGCAGAGGAGGAGAGGTGAGTGAACAGGACCTTTCTGACTCTGTGTGGCATTACTTGAAGCACAGGGAAGGAACTTTACATTGAGTTCTGTGTTGCAAAGCTTAAAAGATTATATTTGAACATTATTTGATAGCAAACACGTTCAAGGTCACAGCAGAGGAGAATTCTTATCAACTCACAGCAACAAGTGTTTACAAATATGAACCTTCTCTTGAGCTGTTAGGCAGGTTTTTAAGGTGACATTTGACCATTTTTGCTCAGTAGCACTTTTACGTTAAGAAAACAAGTCTGATTTCTAACCTGAATGGTAACTTTCCTGACTGGAAAGAGTCTACCTTAGTGGTAGAGCTTGTACACTGGTGGTCAGTGATGGTCAGTGGTAGAGCTCATATGCTGTTGATGATGATGGTGACGGTGACATCATAGATAAGAAGGGCTATGAAGCTATTAGGAAGATCACCTATTGATCAGTTTAGTATTGAAGACCTAAGAATGTTCTTCATATAAAAAGACAGAACAGGAAGTTACATGTGCAGTGTATCACATGCCCAATTTGCATCAATAAAGTGATTTCTAAAAATGCCACATTTTTCTTGCCTTTGAGGGATTCGTGAGTTGCATGGGGGAAATAATACAGAACAACTTGCATATTACATATTAATCTAAGAACATTCTGTAAAATCTTCCATTCCACAACCTGAATAGACTCTTACATGTGGAATAACTAAATGAACCGCCATTAAATTGTGTGTATGTGGGGGGGAGGTGTATGGAAGTATGCATACATGTTGCATATATACTCAATTTTTTTTTTTTTTTTTTTTTCTTGGTAGGGGTGTCTTTGAGACAGAGTTTTTCTATGTGTAATTTTGGCTGTCCTGGAACTCACTCTGTAGACCAGGCTGGCCTCAAACTCAAAGAGATCTACCTCCCTGAGTGCTAGGGTTAAAGGTGTGTGCCACCACCACCCAGCCTCAGAGTCAACCTTGAATCTCTGCCACACTTGCTCTCTCCCTTACTTTTTGAGACAGAGTCTCTCACTGAACTTGGAGCTTACCATTTCAGCCTGACTGACTAGCCAGTAACGCTACCCTAACCCCATCAGGCTCCACCTGTCTCCATGCATCTCCCCACATGCTGGGCTTATAGGTATGCACCACTGCATACACATTTTATTTGAATGTTGAGAGTCTGAACTTCGATCCTCATCTTGAACACAGTAAGGACTTTACCCACGCAGGCATCTTCCAGCTCCAGTATTACATAAGAAAAGGAAATACATAACCAGTCACTGTCTTACTTTGAATTGGTGGTGGGTGCAGGATGGGGGTCCTTTGGGAATCTCACCAGTCACAAGACCATTTCTCGGCTTGCATTGTGTCACAATGCAAGGTTTGATTTGAAGTGCAAAAATTCTAACTTTTTAAATTTTGTTTTCCAAAGTGAGTTCACCCATGGATGAGGTATTAGCATCCTTGAAGCGTGGTAGTTTTCATCTGAAAAAGGTTGAACAACGGACTCTGCCTCCTTTTCCTGATGAAGATGATAGTAATAATATCTTGGCGCAGATAAGGAAAGGGGTAAAATTGAAGAAGGTTCAGAAAGAAGTTTTGAGAGAATCCTTCACACTTCTGCCTGATACAGACCCTTTGACACGGAGCATCCATGAAGCTCTGAGAAGAATAAAAGAAGCATCCCCAGAGTCAGAGGATGAGGAGGAGGCTTTGCCTTGCACAGACTGGGAGAACTAGCAGGTAAATGACCAGTTACCTGCTAGTTGAGTCTGCTGTTCAGCTTTAACAGTGGCTAATGAACTCCAGCATCTCTTGTTGAGTCTGTGGCCTCTTCAGTATATGGCTCAGTTATATAGCATGAATAATAGATGTGTGAATTTCAGAGTGGCCCAAAGCTCCTTGTGATCCTCCCTCCCTCCTTCCCTCCCTCTGTCTCTCTGACTGACAGGGCTTCTCTATGTCACCCTGGCTGTCCTGGACTTGCTTTGGAAACCAGGGTGGCCTTGAACTCACAGAGATCCACCTGCCTCTGCCTCCCCGAGTGTCTTGTGATTTCCTTAAAATCATGGTATGCATCACAACTGGTCAGTAAAAGTGCTTTGTTCTTTATTTCTGTTTCTAAATTTATGTATTTATGTGTGTTTGAATGGGGTTTATGTACATGTATGTGGTACCCTCAGAGACCAAAAAAGAGCATTGGATCCTTTGAAGATGGAGTTACAGGCAGTTGTGATCCAGGACATGTGTGGTGGGAACCTCTCTTAGGTCCTTTTGCAGGGTGCCAAGAGCTCTTAATCATTAAGCCATTTCTGCAGTCCTGGAAAGCACCTTTAAAAGACTATGGCTATGTATTTTTTCTACCCTGCTCGTGTTCCTTCATTCTCTGTAATAATGTCACAGCTACATTGATAAATATAAATGTCTGGGCTCTTATGCACAGGAAAGTCTTCTATACAGTGTATAACCACTGTATGTGGTTATACACATGCATTGTAATAATCGTGGTCTGCTGCTTGCTTGCTTACTCTCTCCTTTTGAGGTGGAACCTCACCAGTAGCTTTAGCTGGGCTGGCACTAGATATATAGACCAGGCTAGTCTTTGCCTCCCTCATTCTCACTTGCCTCTATCTTCCTGAGTGCTGGGATAAAGGTATGTGCCACTAATCTCTGTTGCTGTTTATTAAAAAGTAATTATAAAGTAACTAGCACAAATTACACTATGTTAAAAGAATAAAGCAATTATGGTATATGTTGTATGTTAAGGATTGGCAGTTGTTTCAGCTGAAATAAGATAACTTGTGCAAAATGTATAGAGCGTGTAACATGTTCTACTCAAATTCTGTTCTTTACTAGATCATGATATTTAGCAAAACTGGAAGTGTGGTATGTTCTATATTAGACTCTCGAAGGCTTCTCTACCCCAGCTAGCTCCCAAATAATTAACACAGAGAGACTATAATTTATTGTATAAGTTTTAAAGCACTAGGGCTGGGCAGATTTATATTCCCATAAATGCTTGCACATGTCCCATTTGTGTGGGTCTGCTCCAGCAGGCCAGTCCTCAGAGCAGGCTGCTCCTGGTTCATGTCTAGGAAGCCCACAGCTCCTGGGCTTCCTCTCCTCCTGCTGTATCTTCTGCTTCTCTCCTGTTCTTCTGCCTTATGGTCTCTCCTAGACCTAAGCCCAGGAACCTAAGCCTCACCTAACTCTGTTCTGCACAGCCCAGACTGTCAGCAACTTTATTAACCAATAAGGGATCATTGGAGAGTGAAGTTACACCACATCACTGGGTGTACGTGAGAATGTGCTTGTCTGGGGTGTAACCAGATCTTGGGGAACAGTAATTAGCACTAGAACACACAATGTCAGACCAACCCACAACAATTTCCCCCTTTTGTCTAATTAAAGAGGCTCTTTTTCTTACAATAATAAAGTATATACAGTAAGAACATATATAAAACAATTAAAACTAGCATGTAATGATTATACTCACAATGTCAGTCCATTTGTGTTTGCCAACTTAGAATACTTTCTCCTATCTTACAGAGTTTAGAGTTTTGTACTCAAATTATTTTCTATCATAGCTTGTATTCCATTTAGACCTAAAAATACAATTTTAAAACATTTTCTAAATTCTGAATAACTTAAGCCAAATTGTGAGACTAAACTATTTAGTCTTCAACAGCATCAGAGGCCTGAGAAGAAAATAATATTATCTGAGTTAGCAAGAAGTACAGGCAAGCAGCTTCCAAAGCTATAAAAATGACAGAGGCAGCTAGCTGCCTGAACAAGCCAGAATTCCTCTATATCATTGGAGCAACATCTTCAACCTTCAGGCCAAGTATATCTGCTAGACATATTTGTGAAGCAGGAACTATGAAGGACTTGCTTACCCTGTCTTGGTAGAGTTTGGCACTCAGCTTGGCCTGCAAGTTTGCCCATTTTGGACAGAAGAGAATAGGCCTAGTGGCTAGCTTGCCACATTAAAAGCCATCTCTTAATGAAGATTCTTTGATGCACATCATCTTCTTTCAAGTCAAATAGGGTGCTGCCAGGAGCTGACATGTCTCAGCTCGTGTCGTTGCTAGAAAGGCCTTAAAATAATAAAAATTTAAATATCATATTCAGTAGGTCTCTGAGGTTTTTGAAGACCAATTATCTACATAGTACATAATCATTATTTTTCTGTCTAGAGTATATCTGAGTAGGCAAATGTTTGTTTTTAGCTATTCACTGTGTTTGAGCTCAGTTGTATATTTTTGTGATAAACTAGACTAGTATCTGATGTGACCATGAGTTTGATCAACTAACTATTAACTTGCATTACTTAATTATCCTAAACAGTTTGTAAAGCAGCTTTTTAGGGAGTGGAAGTAAACCTTATATTTATAAATGAGTTGCAAAGGTCCAATACCATATACAAGAGTTGAAACATAGATTCATTATATGTATTGAAAATAATTTTACAGTTGTATCAATATTATCCATATAAATTTAAAAATATTTGAGGGTGGGTGTGGTGGTGCATGCCTTTAGTCCCAGCACTCAGGAGATAAAAATTTCTGATTTTGAAGTCAGCCTGGTCTACAGAGTTGAGTTCCAGGACAGTCAGGTATACACAAAGAAACCCTGTCATGAAAAACAGAGAGGGAGAGATCTATAGTTGAAGAGTAGATTTAATAATACACCCTTTTCTCCTATTATTCCTGTATAATATTTCTATATTTCCCCTTTTCCTTCTCATCCCCTTTTCCCTTACCTAAGAAAGAAAGAAAGATAGAGAAAAGAAAAGAGAAATTCCTGAGTCTAAGCTCTTGTATTTTGGTTTTTTTTTCTCTGATCAAGACCATTAATAACTTGTAACCAATCCTTATATAATGACAAGCACCCATCACCCAATAGACTGACCAAAACCTACCCACCCTGCCTTGAGGGAACGGTACATCACTCTTCTTTAGATTGCTTTCTGCTGATTTGGGGCATGGGATACCTTTTTGGTGGCCCAAAGGAAATTAGGAAAAAAGGTTAAGCAAGCTAGCAGTTAACATTTGTTGTTCAGTCCCTACATGCTGAGAAATTCAAGCTTGAGTGAAATCCTGCTTGGACTAATAGTCTGTGTGGCAGGACCAGTTGGCATCAGCAGCTTTCCTTGAAGCTATCCTGGAAGCAAGCTTTGATGGAACAGCAACTGAAGAGGTCTGAGGCTGGACCATGAAGGATGCTGGGATACATGCCTCTCAGCATCCTTGAGAATGAGTTTTGTCAGGTCCGTCTTCATTTGGTCTTTTGTTCTGTAAACATATAAACTCTTACAAGTAATATACAGTTTTGCAAATGCATAGTCATGAATGTACACAGATCAGTTAAAGATTTTAACATCTATCTATATAAGCTAGTTTGGACTGTGATCAAACTGCAATTTAAATCTCTATCCATGTCATATGAAAGGATGGCATGTACTAAGAGGATTCTGTAGCCAACAAGATTTATTGGTAACGTAAAAACATTAATTTCTCAACTAGTCTCAAAGCTGTTTCCAAGTAGTAGGATCAGCAATCAAACAAATTATGTGCATTGTTGGTCTCTCTTTAGCCTAATCTTTGGGAAGCCTCCCTCTCTCAAATCTGCTTTCCATCAGTTTGGATGGAGGACGTAGTTTTTCTTTTCCTATTGGAATAAGTGTAAAATTCCCTCTCCAAGGCAACATATCTCCTTTCTTCCATTTTGGAATTAGGACCTTTATATGCTTATTTCATTCAGCAGTCCTTCCTAAAATCCAGTGTATCTTAGCAGCTGTGCTACTTGACTCATTTAAAAATTTTAAAATCAATAAATCATTATTTAGCTGGACACACCTTTGTGGTGTGCACACCTTTGATCCCAGTTTTGAATCTCAGGACTCTGGAAGGCAGAGGCAAAGGATCTCTGTGAATTTGAGGCTAGCCTGGTCTAGTGAGTTCAGGTCAGCCAGGGCTACAAGAGAAACCTGTTTCGAAAACCAGAAACAAACAAACAAATATAAAATTAAAAAATCATTATTTAATCTGTTTTGGGGAGATACTATAGTACCATTCTGTTTTATGACAATCTTTAAATTATTGTTAGATTTATTCATATTTGTTTGACCTGTAGGATTATAAGTTATATTTGTAACAGATTTCATGCTATAATGTCTAAAAAACTTGCGTTTCAGTGGATATACATACTGAAGCACCATTAGCCCCAATTTGCAAAGGCACCTCCAAGACAGTTACCATCTCTAATAAATGTGTAACCTCAGAATCACTCTCTCTAGAAATCAAGGCAAAAGCCCATCAGAATTCTGAATATGAACCTTGGCATGGTACATGTATTTCTACTCTCTACTCTTTGTAAGATGAAGGACATAAGCCATTGTATGACCTTGCTCCAAGGCGACATCAAACAGGATCTGTATTTTCAATTAGCGTATAGCTCTTTATCCAGTAATTGAACCTTGATGGTCCACATATAATATCTAATCTGACCATGTTGGCCTATAGGCAAAACCTTTTTATCCAATATCTAAATGGAATGCCATGCAATTTCCTCAAGTCCCTATGGACTTTTTTCATCTGGAACTATTTTTAATCTCTGTTTTATGGTCTCTCATCCAGCAATCTTTTTCTCAGTTTCTTCCTTCACTGAGTCTGTGTTATTTCGATCTCTCCCAAGGATATACAAAACTGCAATAATTATAAAAATTATTTGTATGCTAAGACAAACAAACTCAAGTAGAATTCAAATGCACTGTGTCATTGTGAATTCCTTCATTTTTAAATATAGGTGGTTAACCTCTGTATTCCCTTAGCTTGGTGTAGAAGGCTGTTGATTCCCTGTCCTGGGCTTCTGGGCGGTTTTTGATCTTCACCTGCCTCAGACTCAGATTGGGTTGCCATCTCCAGGAAATTTTCTCGAGGAGCTGCTGTACAAAGCAGAATGGGGATGGGGTGCTGTTAATCTCTGCTGTTCTGCCAGCTCTGGGTTCATTGTCTGATTGACCCCTCCCTCCGCAGCCACTGCTCTCTGAGAGTTGGGACCTGCACCTCAAATGTCATGTGGTCTAATAAAAGGTGCAAAATTTGGGCAACTGTGTAGTGTCTTCTCATTGGGCCTCCCAGTAACTATAGTTTGAAAGGCAGGGGCCAGATTTTCTAATCTAAGCTTAAGTCATCGCTTCACGTTGGTGCACCAATTTGTTGGTGAAGGGGGATATTAGACTCTTGAAGGCTTCTCTACCTTGGCTAGGTCCCAAATAATTAACACAGAGAAACTGTAATTTATTTTATAAGCTTTAAAGCACTAGAGTTGGGCAGATATCAGCCCTCTAAGCTATGTTGTCTGCTTCCCCACCAAAATCCCCATAAATACTTGCACATGTCCCATTTGGGCTGGATCTGCTCCATTAGGCCAGTCCTCAGAGCATGGGTCCTAGCCCATGTCATCCCACAGTGACCTTGACCTCCTTCTCCCCGGCTTCATCTCCTCCTGCTAAATCTTCTGTTTCCTCTCCTCCTGGAACTTAGGCCCTGCCTACCTCTCTTTTGTCTAGCCCAGGCTGTCAGCAACTTTATTAACCAATCAGGGATAATTGTTACACAACATCACTTAGTGTATTCGAGAATGTGCTTGTCTGGAGTGTAACCAGATCTTGAGGGCCAGTAATTAGCATTATAATACATAGCACCAGACCAGCCCCCAACAAGGAAGACTTAACTAGAGTTAGTTGTGTAGTTCTGCAATACCCAGGCAATGTTCAGGAAGATCATGACTTTGAGGCCAGCCTTGATTACGTATCAAAACTCTATCTTAAAACAAAAAGAGACAAGCAAACCCCAGAGAGGGAACACTCTTTCTAGAGGGGATATGTATAATATATATATATATATGTATATATATATATATATTTCTTTGAGCTGGGCATTGGTGCATACCTTTAATCCCAGCACTTGAGGCAGAGGCAGGAGGATCTCTGTGAGTTCAATCCAGCCTGATCTACAAAGTGATCTCTAGAACAGTTGAGACTACAGAGAGACCCTGTCTCAAGATAGTGGGGTGGGAGAGCTTATTTTTAAATTGTTTTCTATCAGAGATATATACAGGAAAATTGTCTTTGGATGGGAGGGTGTGTACAGCGACTCCATGTCAAGTATGATGCTAAGAACTAGCCTAAGGAACGTCTTAAAAAGTATGGATTCCTGACTGTGCTTTGACTCCAAATCTGACTAAGTGGATATTTAATGTATATGTAAGTGCGTATGAATTTTGACAGTGTGGCACAATAAAATGTTAAGTATTCAAATCATTATTACCACTGAAAGCATTTTCACCTGTTGGTTTGAGGCCTAGAGGAAAACCATTGTCAGGTTTCTCTCCCTGACGCCTCTTCCTCAGCATCTGTCTCAAGCTTTACAGTCAGGGTCTAAAATCACATTCTGTGATATGTGCTTGTGCATTATCTTTCCCTTGATTTAGTTATCCTTGATTGCTGTTATGTGCATATTCCCTAATTTTTAACCATTTTGCTTATATATGTCTACACTATAATGTACTTTATAGAAAAACACTGCTATTTATTTTCCTTTAAGAAATGTAGAAGACTGCACCCCCCAGGGTGAGGTGATCAAAGAGCCAGCCCTGAGTTCATGTCAGAAGCAGCCCCTGTTCCCCTTACTAGGGTATCCACTTGGAGACTCAGTCTAGGGGCTATATCTGAGCAGGGTTTTTAGGTCCTCTCCATGCGTGGTCCTTGGTTAGGGTATTGGTCTCTGCAGGACCCCCTGTGCCCAGATTTTTTGGTTCTGTTGGTCTCCTTGTGGAGCTCCTGTCCCCTCCAGGTCTTTCTAGCTCCTTCTTTCATAAGATTCCCTGCACTCTGCCCAAAGTTTGAGTGTGAGTCTCAGAATCTGCTTCGATTCCTTGATCAGTAGTCTTTCAGAGGACCCTCTGTGGTAGGCTCCTGTCCTATTTCCCGTCCTCTCCTGCTTCCTATGTCTATCCTGTTTGCCCTTCTGAATGAAGATTAAGCATTTTCCCTAGGGTCCACCTTTGTGGGGTACAGATTTTAGTATGCTTAACCTATATTATATGGCTAATATCCACTTCTAAGTGACTATATACCATGTGTGTCTTTTTGCTTCTAGGTTATCCCACTCAGGATGATCTTTTCTAGTCCAGGCCACAGATGCAGCCAGTCCTGATGGAAACCTGATAGGCTAGGGTCAGATAGAAGGGGAGGAGGACCTCCCCTATCAGTGGACTAGGGGAAGGGCACAGGGGGAGAAGAGGGAGGGAGGGTGGGACTGGGAGGAGAAGAGGGAGGGGGCTATAGCTGGAATTACATAAGTGAATAAATTGTAATAAATAATAAATAAACAAAACAAAAAATGTAGAAGAATATAGATACCAATATTTCTAACTAATGTGCTGATATTCAGAGACTCAGGTTGTCTTCCTAGGATCTGTTTCACAGTAGATACGTATAGACCACCTCCCTCTTTATCGTTCTTGCTCCTGCTGTGTCTCCTGTCTGTGGCTTCTCTTGGTTTTTACATCTATATCTCACCCAGTCACTGCTGACTCCTCAAATGTGCCACTCGCTGCCCCTTGCATACTTAGTTCTTTTGATACAGCAGCTCAGGTCAGCATTTCTGTTTGTTTTTCCCATCCCACAGGAAAGTCCTGGGATGCAGCATTTTGTGTAACATATAATGTGCCCAGACTTTCATGTCTGGGCACTGAGTGGGGGAGAACGCTTTGAAGGGGAGCATGAGGAGCTGGTAGTTCTCACGCAGTTGAAAGAAAACCAGAGTAGTACTCAGCAGATGTCTGATCTACACACCTTCAGAATTGCTTTGAAAAGATGAATGTGTACATCTGCCTCATCCTACTTTGAAGCTTCCCAGACACAGGCATGGCTAACAGTATCCAAAGTTGATCTTTAAACATGAAACAAAATTACAGATTTTATGACAAGGTTCTAATTTGTTTTCTGTAGGGTCTTTCTCAAACTTATAACAATGGAAAGAGAATGAGGTATATATGTCTTTCTAAGAAAACTGCTGGTAGTCCTATTACAAAGGTATAATGGAATATGTGAAATTTATCTTACTAATTTTATATGATAGAGGGCCAAAATAGTACCGTTCAATATGCAGTTTACATAAAGTTGTGAAATAATTTGCTTACCCCTGTGCACTCAGCCTTTTTAGGTACTAAGGCCTCAAAATCCAGGTTGTGATTCAGATGCAGTCTTTATGCTGTATTTCCTACTATCACATTTCAGCAAAATATCCCATGAAAACAAAAATATGCTTATTGGAAAATATTTTGTTTGTTTAATGAAAAATGCAGAACTGTAACACAGAAACATGGTGCTTGTTCATGTCTATTTAAAGAATAAATGTTTTTATTCTTCTAAAGGGTCAGCTGATAAACATAGTCTGTCTCTATTGAATTTTAAAAGACAACCATTTAATAGGTTGACAGTTTATGAAACATGCCATACTCCTGCCATGAAGTATTACACTAAGAAGAATAGAAATGAATGTGAATCTAATATTCCCAATAGTGATCAAAATTGGTATCAAAATGGCTTTTATTCTTGCCACTTTAAGGTTACAGACATCACAGGGCAAGAGAGATGGTTGAGCACTTAAGAAAACTGGCTGCTCTTTCAGAGGTCCTTTGTGCAGTACCCACATGACAGCTCTGTGGGCAGCTTCAGTCACAGGGATCTGATGTCCTCTTTTGGCCTCCATGGGCACTTGCATGCACATGGTGTACAGACATACTTAGTAACCACTCATACAGTGAAATAAAGTCTAAATAAAAATTACAGACATTTTACAAAAGGAAATGCTATACCATTAAATAGGTGACTATTGAAAGAGAAAAAAGTATTCATTGAAGATATTTCCATATACCGTACAATTAAGAGGCATTTTGTTCTAATATTGTGTTATTTTGTTTGCAAACAGGTGGCTTAACAAAAAGAAGAAAAATACTAATGGATGAAGACTGGCTCTGATTCTTTAGCGAAAAAGTTTAAGCTCTTGGTCCCACAATTGGATTCCAGTAGAGTCCAAGTATTGGCAAAGTGGTATGAAAAAAAGGAAGCTCAATTGGGAGGTTATTACTGTTCAGTCACTCATTGATAGTGGTGACATCAGTTTTATATGTGCAGTGTTTGTGACTGCAGTGAGAAAAAGCCTCCTGGAGATGGTTATTTGTTACACACCTTCTCTTCCCATCCACCCATTCATAACCTCATAGTGGTCAGCTGCTCTAGGTGTTGCTATGAATTCAAAGAACACTGAGTTGGCAGAGTGCTGCTGTGTGAGCTGCTTTGGGATTCGTCATTCAGTGAACTGAGAAGATACTTGCTGAAGCACAGCTTGCTTCCACAACAGCTTATAGAAATAGAGTGATGTGCTAACGAAGACACTTATCATGGTAGTTATGGCCAGGAATTAAAAGGAAACATGGAATACACTTAAATTTTCACATTATTCATCTCCAGAGGAGATGTTCAGTATCTGAGAAGCCAGTGGAGATATACCTATTAATGTGTGCCGAAAATATGACACATTGAAGAAGGCATATCTTTAAGAGGCAACAGTCTTACATTTTGTAAGAGTTTGAAGTTAAATTTTCCATGCTTTTAAAATAGCGTTTCATAATTCTGAATTTAGAATAGTTTGAATTTTATGTGCATCCTGTTTATGAGAAGCAATGCTTTGTAATTTGATAATGTTTCAAATTATTTTTAGTTTTTTTGTTTGAACTACTGCTTGATTACTATAACTCATGACTTTTCTATTGAGAATCAGATATCAGGATTCAACCTTAGAGGCACAGATTAGAAGTCTTTGTATCATGCGCCAGTTTAAGTTTTTATTGTTATGCTCTATGGTGAGAAGCACGTGTTCAGTAAAGGTCCAGAAGGTAGCCAGTCCCAAAGCCTCCAGCTGGCTTTCTTATGCTTTGGATAGAACTTTAGGGGAGGAGCATTTGTTGCTGTCACTAAGTCTTATGCTTACATGCGTAGATTTAGTGATGACTTAGCTGTATTTTAAAGGATCCAGTAATGAATGGAGCTGGCATGGATTGTCACTGGGATTATGTGGATGTGCATGAAGGCAGATGTGCTGGATCCAGGTTAGTGTGTGCTAATGGTGAAGACAGGTCTTGGCTTTATATGGAGGGATTGAAATACCAAAAAGAAGTTCATTCCTAAAACGTTCTTTTTCAGCGTTGCCCTGAAACTGCCATGAAACAGAAGCCCCTCAATGTTTGCCAGTGTTTTCCTCCAGAAACATGGCTCCCTTCTTGTCACTTTTAAGAAATGTTTTTCTTTAAATTAATTATGAAAAAGATTATTATAATGGGTTCTAGAAAACCAAATCATTGCACCTAAATATTCATAACATGTTTATTGATGAGACTGAGAGCTCCTGTATAATTTCTTTTATATATTGTTTTTAGTCCTAGGATAATTCCCACATCTGTCCACAACAATTAAAACAGCTCTGATATACAAACCTCATCCCAAGATGATCTCTGTGTTCTTTCTACCTTCAGTAAAGTACCACACTGTTTAACCCAGAGGCACTGCTAGATAAAAACTACAAAGTCACCCAGCATGTATACACTTCTCATATTTACAGATCCAGGCATCAGTATTTTATCTTTCTAGTTTATTTATTTGCTTTTGAGACTGGGCTCATTTTTACAGCAGTCTTCTTACATCTCCCTCTCCAGTGCTGGGATTACAGGTATATGCCAAGATGCCTGGCTTTATTTCTTTTTTAAGATTCATATTTTAAAATTATCTTAAATTATGTTTAGTATGTACACAGAGGCTCTGCCCTGGAGCTAGATTTACAGACACCTGGCATGGTTGCTGGTAATCAAAATGGGTTCTCTGAAAGAATGGTGCGTGCTCTTAATCCCTGAGCCATCCCTCCAGCCCCATTTTTTTTTTTTCTGTTTTTTTTTTGAGACAGTTTCTCTTTACAAAGACAGCCTTGTCTGTCCTGTACTGGCTTTGTAGACCAAGCTAGCCTCAAACTCACAGAGATCCTCCTGCCCCTGCTTCACTGAGTGCTGGGATTATAAATGTGTACCGCTACGCCCCGCCCATTTTTTTTTTAACTTTAGGAAAATAAGGAATGTAATTTAAACTAACAAAAGTCATTGTATTGTAATCAGTTATCTTTGTATCATATGCTGAATGGGATAACGAGCAGTTCTCAGCACATCCTGACACAGGTCTCCAGGTATGACCGCATTCCCAACAATCCAGCACTACATCATGGAGCCCGCCAGCCCATTTTCAAGTAAATTATTTCCTCCTAACATGCCGGTCTCTCTGCCCAGGAACCTAGTTCTTTAATTAGAGTGTGGCTCAGTAGAGTACAAGACCTCATGTTCCATCTCTAGCATTGCTTCCTAATCCCCCAAGAAGATTTCTACTTCATAAAATCATACACCATTGGAGTTATTCACAATAATACAATTTAAAATAACTAGTATACATGTGTTCATCAAAGCAACAGATGAACCCTCATTAACCTAGAGTGGTTCTTAGGGCCACAGGAAAATGAGAACAAGCATGGTAGCACCCCTCTCCCCAATTTTAGTTTCCTAGACACCTGATAAAACAAGGACCTTTTGCTTAGTTTTGGATGCAGTCAGCAGACCAGAAGTGATAAGCTGTGGCATTCCCCGTACATTCATGGGTCTACTTGTCATGGCCCTCACAGTCAGTGTTTCCAGTTCTGCTTATACAGTCAGATTCCTGCTGTGTCACTCTTTATCCAGACCCTGCTGATTTGTGCTGTTCTCAGATATTTTATACTGAGATGGGAAACAAGCAGATGACTTGAGAGTGCTTAGCTTAGTGTCATGCATACTTGAATGTCAGTTTCAAATACTTCCCTCATACAACCAAAATTATGTGTAATAGCCAATAGACTATGTACAGAAAAGGGTGACTGTTTAAAGTCCTAATTGTATTTTAGCAGTAAGAAATTGCTGGGAAATGAGGACTTTTAGGGGCTAAGCAATGGCTTTATTTAAAGAGTGCTTTATTGTGGATATAGAGTTCATAAACAGCACAAAAGCAATCATTCTTAGTTGTTCAGTGTGCACTTAAACTTTTTGCAAAAATCCTTTTTCCCCCCTTCCTGAGACAGGGTTTCTCTGTAGCCCTGGCTGTCTTGGAACAACTCCTAGAACCAGGCTGGCCTTGAACTCAGGGATCCACATATCTCTGCCTCCTGAATGCTAGGACTAAAGGCATGCAACACCACACCTGGCACACGCCTGATGTGGCCTTTCTTCGTGAGCACTTTGTTGACTCTACAGTGTGTGTGTCTTGGAAAGGTTCTCTTCTGTAAATTTGAATGTAGTGCAGCACTTGGTGCCACAGTATGTCCTAGAATGTGCTAAAGTGCAGTGTGTCACAGACACCTCACACTAAGAATCAAAACCCAGTGGGGTACAGCCTAATAGGCAGTGTCCCTTATTAGGCATGGGGACCTACACATTGATGCGGTTGCAGTCTCTATACTCCCTGAGACATCCTTTTTTAATTGATTCACAGAATGTGTGCGTATCTAAATCAGTGCTTTTAGCCTAGCTTTGTAATATGCTTATCACCAGAAACCAACATGCATAATGACTTTGGGTCTTTGTCGGACCTATCAGGGAGTTTTGAGGTTTCTTCTGTTTCACCGGGTAAAATAACTAAAAAGTCCTGAACAACTACAAGAATATTTCAAACAATTGTCAGCTTAAGATCATTTGACAGGGGAAGCAGAGCCCTTGAGTTTCTCCTCATTTTTGCACTGAATAGAACTGATTATATAAAGCTGAGTGTGCATCCTGAACATTTTATTTGTGCTTGGTGTTGTCTGTGACCGTCAAGACTTTAGGAGGAAGAAGAGTGAGCAAGCAGAAGCACCTTACTTACTGTTGAGCATACTGCACTTATGTCTTGCTACTGAACACCTCAGTAGTTAGGCCTGAAGTCTCCTTTTTTGTTAAAGCACATTAAAATTATTCTCCCTAATTGCTTTGTAAGATGAGGCAATAATTTTATCCTATAAATGTAATGTAACTTTAAAAGTTTTCTTACAAAATGAGTTTATGTCATTGTCTAAACTATCGTGTGTAAACAACCTTTTAAAAGTAGGGGCAGTTGAGAAAGAAGAGGGGGAGGGAGGGAGAGAACAAACTAAATGTTGTGAGTTATGTGAAAGGTGTTATTTTAAATTTTCTGTTTTGCCCACAGTAAATGTACAACTTTGGCATTAATATGATTTGATGGATTGAATTCCAGGTTTACAAATGTCCCCTCAAAGCACATTTATTGGGCCACTATAAGGTGCATGTACAGAAAAAAACCTCCATGCTCAAGGGTTCATGAAATGCTGTTTCACATCAACTCTCATGCAGTCATTTATTTTGAGAGGAAGGGGATGTTTCATTTCTTGTGTGTTTGTTTTTGTAGATTCAGCTACAGTTAAGAGTAGTTCAGTTTGGGGCATTGGAAGTACGTCAGAGAGACTGTGAAAAGTTTAAAAACAAGGTATAGGTGTTAGAGTTGAGTTTTGACCCAACAAAACCTTTTTACTTGCATGTTGTATATTAGGTTTCTTGGTCCAAATTCCATTGTCTTTGCAATTATGCAATTACCCGTGGCATTTTCCTTTCATGGGATTTCCCCTTCATTTGTGTGATGTAGCAAGGGTTAGACTGTGCATCCCATAGCAGTGACTTACAATGTCTTCGATGCAATCCCCACTGCCTCATTGAATCTCTCTGTACTGTATGCATCGCCAGGTATGGAGCCATAATACTTTATGAGAAATGGAAAATTACAGATCATATTGCATGAGTAAAGCCCCCTGGAGCTAAAGAAACTGACACTTTTTTAAATGAAAGTTAAATTGGTAAACTGACTCACCATTACTAGCTTTGTGCAATGTTATAAAGGCAGAAGCAAAACACTAGTGCACTGTGCTTGGCTTTACAGGATGGCTTCCCCACCATACATTGAGTGAATTGTCCGCAGCATACTGTAAATGCCATCTCTTACAAAGCTATATACTTAGATATGCTCAGTTAATATTCTAAAGTATTAAACACACAAAGAAAATACTAAGCAGGCAGTTAATAGCAATACTATGAAATCTCCAATAATTGTTTTTACTGTTGCCTTTGCTCTTTAGTGCAACCTTTCTGCATCGTAATTGTGTTGCTTTTTTTTTTTTTTCTTTTTTAACATTTTACACTCCTGACTTCAGACTTAAGTACTTGCTTACCTAGTATTGCACTCTCCTTTCTTTTATTGTATATGCAATGTAACAACACAGTTTTGGTGCTTAACAGTATTCCTTTTTTCTTTAATAAAGGATATTTATTTGAATTAACTTGATTTTGTTTTGTTTAAATACCATCAGTGGTAGGTATTTTCATTTCAAAAAGGAGCATAGCAATATTGCACAATTTTAACAATGTTTTTATTTTCTGATAACAGTATCTTTTTTGCAAGTCTCTTATTTTATTAATTACAGTTTATTCACTGTGTATTCGAGCTGTAGCCCCCTCCTCCATCCCCTGCCAATCCCACCCTCCCTCCCTCCTCTTCTCCTATGCCCCTCCCCCAGTCCAGTGATGGGGAGGTCTTCCTCCCTTTTCATTTGACCATAGTCTATCAGGTCTCATCAGGACTGGCTTCTTTGTCTTTCTCTGTGGACTGGAAAGGCTGTACCCCCCTCAGGTGGAGGTGATACAAGAGCCAGCCCATGAGTTTATGTCAGAAATGGTGACTGAATATCTTGACAAAAAGCAGCTTACTTAGGGGCTGAGTTTATTTTGGCTTAGAGTTCAGGGGAGTAAATCCATGATGACATGGTCAGGAAACAGAGAATCCTTGTCTTCAGCTTGCTTTCTCTTTTTCCATTCAGTCCAGGTAACCATGGGATGGCATCCTCACAGTCACAGTAGGTCTGTCTTCCTCACTTACACCTTTCTAGAAACACCCTCCTAGGTATTTCCAGTGCTGCGTTTCCACGGTGATTTAAGACCCTGTCTTAGAAATAAAAATTCAGGCATGACACTGAATAGCTGCAGAAATGAAAGATGGTCAGAAGCAAATGATGGATAGTTTAGAGGACTAATTCCGTTATGATAGAGCTAATTCTTGACTTGGCAATGAGAGAGATGGCGAGGGAATGAAATAAGACCCTTACTGTCCTGTTTGTAAAAATTCAGGTTGGACTTGCTTTCCTGTGTAACAGCAGTTACCCGGGAAACACTCCAGGAAGATGGACTTTAAAGAGCTCCCAGGAAGAGACACACTGGTTACCATGCTGAAAGACAGTTGAGAAGTTGGTGGAATCCAGTGAGGTCTGTAGAGTGAAGTGGAAGATATTCCATGAATATAGTTTAAGGAATTTTATAAAGATTTGGCTAGGGAGCCAGATGCCGTGGCGCACGCCTCTAATCCCAGCACTCAGTAAGGCAGAGGCAGGCAGATGTCTGTGAGTTTGAGGCCAATCTGGTCTACAAAGCAAGTCCAGGACAGCCAAGGCTACACAGAGAAACCCTGTTTCATAACACAGAATTGGGTAGGGTGTATTTAGGGTAAAGAGCACTAGAGTATGCTTGTGATGGTTAAAAAAGATAAAAAGCCAAAGTTACTACAATAGCCATTGTGCTTTCATTTCTTTGTTGGAAGTAATAAACTGGAGCTCCAGGCATAGTGACACACAGTTGAAACTCCAGCACTCAAGGGACAGAGGAGAATCTCAACTTCAAAACCAGCCTGAGCTATGAAGCTAGACTGTCTCAAGAAAAAAACCCCAAGACCTTTGATTGTAATACAGTTTTAATTCAAGTGACAGATGAGGTGGGAAGAATATGCTTGCCCATCCTCCATCCCTCCCCCAATTCTCTGTGGTAATCACAGGTCTACTGTAGTCACGGGAGGTTTTTCTCGAGACAGTTCCTGTTTCCCCTCTGTATTTAGGTTGGCTTTTTGTTTTTAATATCACCAGTACAGGGATCCTACTGGTTCACATAAGAGTAGTTTTATTGTGTATTTATTCAGTAATTTGGTGGTTCCACAGAATGTACTGTACGCCCCAGTATATGTGTGTCTACAGGGACACTCACAGAGAAGGCCAGGACTTTACCCTCAAGGTCCATCAAGAGTGGAAAGCTGGACATCCACAGGTAGAACCTGTTACCTACAATGCCTCCTGGTCGCAAAGGACAACTCTTTCAGGAAACTTTTTTCCTTCTGCCAGTCTGATTCCGCTGCTTGTCTTCCTCCTGAAGTTCCCATCCTGATTACTACACTAAACTGCACATTTTCTGGAAAATCAGTGAAGAGCCCTCACCATGTTACCCAAGGGCCAGAGCATAGCTCTAAGCCTGTGTCCTAGGCCCATGTCCCCTGAGAGCATAGCATGACCTGCAAAGCCCAGGTCTGATAACCCATGCAGTGTGACTAGGGTGTTTTTAAGCTGTACCCCGGCAATTGAAAAGACCTAATTCACTCCCTAGTTATGGCTGATTCACTGCAAGAATGTGATACTTCTTCAATCAAGAATGTACTAGCATGAAAACTGTAAAATAATTCAATAGCCACCAAGAAGAAAGAAAGATAGATAAAATTAATGATGGAGCAACATTTATCAGAGAACGTCCTAATTTTCTATTTTTGCACATGTAAATATGAATGGAAATTTAGCATGGCCATTTCCACCATGCAATGAATGGGCTTTTATAATCCCTGCCAAGTTCTACAACACTCTTAAATGCTGTCATTTACAGGCAGAACTTTGCCCCTTGTACCTCGCAGTGGGTAGGGCTGAGAAGGCACTGCTTGTCTCAGGTAGACCCCTGTCATTTCACAGATTATTTAGGACGTGCACAGAATGCAGTGCAGACGCTGGTAGAGGACAAGGACTTTAGACCTGTTCTGGCTGAGAGAAGGCCTGCCACTTCTGTTAGTGCCTCAGTTTCCTCCTCTGAGACATAAGGCTGGATGCAATCTAAAGTCTTCAAATCTTTTTTTTTTAGTCATGTCAACTCAAACAGGTTAGATGAGTGCTCTACAGCCTCTGGCTCCTGCCTAACAGCACAAGGGGAATGGAACCTTACACAGAAGAGAAAAGATGCCAACTGGGGCCAGAATGAAAGAAGACAGGGCAAAACCAGAGGCTGTCTGCCACTGTCCGTTCACTCCTTGCTATCCAGGCAGCTGGCTCTCAGAATCCAAAGGGCCCTGAAGAAGAGGACATGTTACAGCAGCCCGGAACACTTTCTTCCCAAGGCAGATCTTGTTTGGGGGGAATTTTACCCCAACCATAAAATCCGTTAGTTTCCTACAAAGGTCTTGTAGCCTGCCCATGGCCAGAAATCCAAGGGGTCTTAGGCTAAATACTTGCTTCACAAGCATCTTTGCTGCTAGCCTCAGCTTTAACAACAGCTTGCAAAACACCCCAACATCACCCTGAGAAATAATTTACATCTAACTTGTGTCTGCCTAAAGAGACACTGATGAGTTTGGACAGTTGTATATACTGACAAAATGCCATCATGACAAAACCCACAGCATTTTGTATTCTGACCAAAATTCCCACCGGTCCTCTCCTTCCTCTGTGGTGCCTTTCTTTCTCATTTTCTCTTTGTTGGGGATGGACCTAATGTTTTACCATAGAACTACACCTCCAGTTGGGTCTTGCACTTTTGTGGTCTATGCCTGCCTTGCCCAAGCCAACCACTGGCATGCTTCTTGTCACTAGAGAGGTTGGCTTGCCCCCTTTCACTCCGCTTTGGATTCAACACACTGCATCCATACAATGGATTGCTTCCCCTGTGTCCTGTAAGCTTACACCACAGCAGTAATTCCTGGTTTGGCTCCATTGTGACTAAACATTCACACACTAGTGTCTGCAGGAACGTGCACCTTCACTTAGTAAATAGCTGGGAGCAGAATGCTGGCTTGCATGGTAGGATTATGTCGCAGTTTGAGATAACTCAAGACTTCTGGACATTGCTTTGCCTTTGAAGCGGGAAAGATGAGTTTTTTCTGAGGTACAGCCTTCAGCCTTTTCCTGTCCCCATGATGATGAATGCTGTAAGGACAAAAGAGGTGGTCATAAGCTATAGTCCATTTCCTGTGGAGGAAGAGATTGGGGCCAGAGGAGAAGAAGGCATCTCCCAAAGAAGACACACACCGTGTCAACAGTGCAGGAAAGTGCCAAGTGGGAGTGAGCACTGGGTGACAAAAGCAGCGTGTGGAGTTTTTAGTCACAGGCAAAGCCAGAAGAGTGTCTACGCTGTCATGGTTCAGTGACCTCAGCCATTTATACCCGATGGCACACTGAGCAGGGACAGTGTTTCGCAGTGTCCAGCGAAACTTCCCAAAGGTTAAGTTTTGAAGAACCCTCATTTCCCTGGGCTGGCCTTTGGGAGTTGGGGACAGGCGCACTCCTTTATGGGGACACCCCACACCAGATGGAGTGTAAGATAGCATTCCCCATTATAACAGACATTGAACCAATCCACTACTTGACAAAATATTCTTCTTAATCTAAAACTTTACCTACAAACCTCCTAATATTAAAATCATATTTCAATATAACTAAGATTCTGGTTGAAACATTTTTCTCCATTGTGCTTACCATGCATTGGTCAGGGAAGGATATTGAGGAGCATTCTTAGTGACAGCAGCAAGTATCTTATTTTAGCTGAACACCTCTTGATACCTGGCATTTTAAGTATTGCAATTAAGTCAGTATTTTGAGGAGAGAAAATCAAGTCACTTGAAAACTTAATCATAACCTCAACAACAAACAAAATTCTACTTATCACTTGTTCTAGCTAGTTTTGTGTCAACTTGACACATGCTGAAATCATCTGAGAGGAGGGAACCATAACTGGAAAAAAAAATGCCTCCATAAGACCAGGCTGTAGGCAAGCCTGGGGACAATTTCTTGGAGATTAATAGAAGAGAGGGCCATTGTGGGTGGTAACACCCCGGTCCTGGGTTCCAAAAGAAAGCAGGCTGAACAAGCCAGTAATCAGCACCTGCATGGACTTTGCATCAGCTCCTTCCTCCCAGGCTCTACATGGTTTAAGTTGGGAATTTGAGATGTGGATGATCATATTGGTTAATTTTTTTTCTTCGTTTATTTTTTCTAATCAAGTGAAAAGAACTGTGAAATTCAGAAATTCTTTGAGCTAAACAATAAAAAGAGTAACAGCTGTGCAAAGCTCTGATCATCTTGCTGTCACATTTGTCTGTTCACCTAACCAGAAGCCAGGTTCACAGAGAAACAAAGGCTCATCACTGCTCTGAGTCTGAAGACTAAGCTGAATCTCCAAGGCACATGATGTTACTATGTAACTCTGGCTG